AGAGAGAGAGAGAGAGAGAGAGAGAGAGAGAGAGAGAGAGAGAGAGAGAGAGAGAGAGAGAGAGAGAGAGAGAGAGAGTGTATTGCCCGTTGCACTGCCAAGGTGCAAAACATGAATGAATCTACTCTCGTTCTCGCGGGAGATTCATTCTCACTTTGCACTACTGCACATGCAAAGAGTAGCGGGAGGCCTCAGCCACTCTAGAAATGTGCAAAATGACAATGGATCTTGCTGCATTCTCGCGGAAGATTCATTCTCATTTCGCATATATGGAGAGTAGCAAGAGAGAGAGAGAGAGAGAGAGAGAGAGAGAGAGAGAGAGAGAGAGAGAGAGAGCATCCGCATTCTCGCCGGGATGCTCGCTCTGGCGCGTTTGCTGCGCCGCAGCAAACTCGTCAAGATGGTCACTGTCACAGAGAGAGAGAGAGAGAGAGAGAGAGAGAGAGAGAGAGAGAGAGAGAGAGAGAGAGTACCGCCCGTTGCATTTCCAATGTGCAATACGCGAACGAATCTACTCGCGTTCTCGCGGGGGATTCATTCTCATTTTGCACATATGGAGAGTAGCATCAGAGAGAGAGAGAGCATCCTGGCGGTCACGCTGTGGCGCAGCAAACTCGCTGGGATACTCGCTGTGGCGCATTTGCTGCGCCATACCAAACTCGTCAATATGGTCTCTCTCTCTCTCTCTCTCTCTCTCTCTCTCTCTCTCTCTCTCTCTCTCTCTCTCTCTGTGAGATTGCCGTAGTGCATTCATTGTGTGCCAAATGAGATTGAATCTTCCGCGAGAACGCGGCAAGATCCATTCTCGTTTTGTACATTTGTAGAGTGTCGCCCGCCACTCTCGATTTGTGCAAAGTGTGCTTGAATCTCCCCGAGAATGTGAGTAGATTCATTCGCGTTTCGCACATTGGAAGTGCAACGAACAATGTTCTCTCTCTCTCTCTCTCTGTGCACGTGGATAACTCTGGGATCCGTTTTCTACTTTGTTTTCTCTTTTTTTGTTTTTGAGAACGAAATACCGCTTGTTTTTTTTCCCTCTTTTTTGTGTTTTTTTTTTTTTTCATGAAATCAAACGATGCCACTACTGGGTACCGGTCGCTTCCGGTCGCTTGAGGCTCGGCATGTCTCAGCATACCAGTCGCATGAGGGTTGGGCCTGAACAACCGCTAGGTACTGGTGGTTTAACCCGTAGTATAAAAGTAAGAGTTTTTGCATAATTCCTTCTTCTAGCGGCTACTCATTTGACTTTACTCATATTAAATCTCCTTCTTTGAAACTTGTGCATTTCCTTCGTTTATTGGCTTGTTTAATCATTTTAGTCTGAGCCTTTTTTATATTCCCTTTGACTGATATTTTCTTCGCACAAAACTGCAATTTTTTTGGAGAGTCTATATGTTTTTAAGGTAGACATCCCTATGCATTGCAGTAGGCGTTTGCTTGGTCGATATGGGTTTAAAGTTGTTATACGCACTTGCAATCTTAGGTAAGTTCTCATCCCAATCAAATTGGTTGGGACATACAAAATGCATAGAAGTCGGCACAATCTCATTTACTCAGTCTGTCGAATTTTCATCCCAATCAAATTGGTTGGGATATATATAAATGCGTAGAAGTTGTTGGCATAATATCATTTACTCAATTTGCCCATAAGCCTTAGCATACCTTCCTCCAAGACACAATCAATCAAATGTCATACGTTCAGTAACCTTTATCACTGTTGTTTTTTATAATTGACGTATGCATTAAACACAATTAGTCTCAGGAAATCCATACTCAGAAACCTGAAGTATTCGAAACTTTTGTATTAGTTCTTATGTTTTCGCTTCAACGGGTAGAGGTATAAACATTGCGTACTTTAGGATATCTATGAACAATATGTTTTTCCTACTCTGTATGAGACTCATGAAGTTCATGAAGATGGACATATTTGGTCCACTAGAAATAAATAGTGGTCTCAGTTGTCCGAAGGTTTCTCATGGGATGACTTATTCCGCTGATAACTAGCTTTCCCGGGGCGCCCGTCCGGGCGTGCCCGGCTTGGCGCCCCGGGCACCCCGCCCAGGTAGGGACCACGCCCGGGGTACCCCGGGCATGCAACAAACCCACCAAATTTTTTTTTTTCAACCACCGGATCTTGTTGCGCTTTGGGAGTAATGCCCAAATCTGGCCTCTTTTTTTATTTTCACGTATGTTGATTTTTGTGGGTCAGGGGGTGCAGGAGGGGGCGAATTTCAATTCTGTATCAGCGCGCACCATCGATCTATGCAGATCGACGACCAGAATCCCCCCAAAAATTAAAAACCAACAAAACGGAACCTACCGGACCCCCCCCCAAAAAATGTCGACCACTTACAACAAAGTTGGCACGTTTGGAATATGGTTGCGACCAGGGTTACCAGCCCGTACGTACGGAGGTCCCTGGGCAGACCTCCGTACGTACGGGCGTTCGGGGTCCCGTACGGGGTCTGAACCCGACGGCATTCGGCCCCCGCCAAAAATTATTTGGGGCCTAAGAATTTTTTTTTTTTTTTTTTTTTTTGTGAGTTCTCTATGACATGAGGTATACCCCTGTAAATTTTAAAGTCATTTGGCTCAGCCAAATAAGAATTAAAAATCGCCAAAGATGGCGGTGTCCAAACGTGCTTGCCCACGTTTTTTTTCACTTCTTACTTTTTGTTTTCACTTTAGTTCGGGGTCTAAACAATTTTATTATTTTTTGAAATGTTTTTAGTGTGTTTTGCATTATGTGAAGTACACATATCTAAATTTTCAGGGCATTTAGCTATTCACAAAAAAAAAATGAAAAATCGCCAAACATGGCGGTGTCGAAAACGTGCTCGCAAACTCACTATTTTTTATTTTATTTTTTTAATATTTGTTTTCGTAATTTATTTTTATTTCAAATTCGGCAAGGAATTTGGATGTAATGCTCAAGCAAATCTTGTTTAGTTTAATTTTCTTCATAACATATCTGTTTTTCAAATTTTTTTGATCTGCGTTCGGCCCGAACGGCCGAACGCATCCCCAAGGGGTCCCATACGTTCGGGCGTTCGGGTTCGGGCGTTCGGCCCGTCCCGAACGCCGGTTACCCTGGTTGCAACAATTTTTTTTTTTTTTTTGCTTTCTCTGCCTTGGTGCAAGAGGCGCCCGGGTGCCTGCTCGGGGGGGTCACCCGACCGGGCGCCCCGCGCCATTCCGGGCATGGTGGGGT